TATTGCCTAGGATCGAAAATCCTGATCTTGCCCCATGCCCCTAACCCATTTCAGTTCATTATACTACTAGTGCTAGCTCTTTTCATCCCTTGACAACTATTTTCCAAATTACCATCTCATTCAGGTGGAGGAATGCTTCGAGAAGACTTACTTCAGAACTACACGACGAGCTGGTTGGCTCTTCCCATCCAGTATCAGCATGCCCAACGGCTCCATCAAGGAGAAGACGACTGTAGATATGATCGATGGGGCCACCAACATGGCTGCGAAAATGAAGGAGGGGAAGAAGAATGAGAGCAAGTCAAAGACGAATAAGGGGATCAAAGTGAAGAAGGGAGTGTGGACATGCAAGAAGAGGGACGGCAAGAAGCCACAAAAGAAGAGGCCCGTCGTTGACATGGGCGAAGCGTTCTACTACTACGACGGCTTTGGCCCATCACGCAGCTCCAAGAGGCATTGTAGATCAAGCAGTGGTAGCAGTGTGCTGGAAGAACCTCCACTACCCATTGAACAACAGAAAGATGAGGCATGCCCCCAAACACAATTTGATTTTAGTGCAAGCCAAGCTAATGTCACCGACCATCCGGCTGTGCCGACATCAACACATGTCGAGAAGCCTAGGCTCAATTTGAGCAATGCCAACATTATCAGCTACGATAAGGAGAGCAGCAATGACGACGCACTTGGTTGCAATGGCAAACAAATGTGCGACATTATGATGATGAACAACCCGTTCAAGAAGAGGTGGAGGAAGCCTGTTAAAGCCCGATCGCTCAAGTCGCTAATGTAATTCTGTGGCTCAAGTGAAGCTTGGTATTACCAAGCTTGGCTCGATCGGCTTTATCTAGTCAGCTCAGCATAGCATGCTCCAGTTTGAGAGTTGAGTTACCAATCAATATACAAATTGTACTGTATTGTTTGGTCCATTGTGTTTTGACTGTGATGCGGTGTTGAAATTTCTGATAATGAATTTTCCGTTATTAATGTGGTGAGGGAACTCGAGAAATCTAAAGCAAATTTAGCTGATAAGTGTCATAATTTTGAGAGACAACAAGATAATGTGTTTTTGGTTACTAATGAAGCTAGAGATAGATCACCTCTTAATACTGTCTTGATGAATAAAAGAAATACAAGTTGATAATTTTACTACTTTGAAATCAACCAAAAAGATAGAAATAAGAGTGAATATGGTTAATTAAAACCTATACTACTAGTAGTAAAGAAAAGTGTGAGTAATGTTGCAAGTGCTAACCTGTGACCTAGGGTAGAACTGGCAGAAAAACTCACACACCCCATACGAGGAAAAATGATTGGCCTTTTATGGAATTTTAGAGGGGGTGGGGAATAAAGAAATATCAACATGTTTACTTGACTTAATCCATTAGCATCACTTGGTTTTCCTAGATTATATGAAACTATGAAAGATGGGTTTTCCTTAAAATTCACCAGAAAGGTTGACACTGGTGACCTTTTTCGTTGGAATTGGATTATGTCCGCTAGAAAATCTGGTGGTATGCATTGTGGGGTCAGTCAGGAAACTTTTGATGTCATTTCCTGTAAATCTGGAAGTATGTGTTGCAACTTATCATGTTTGATAATAAACTTAGAAATACATTTGGGATTATAGTGATTTATGGCTTTGCCCATGAGGAATATAAACTTGAGTTTTTAAAACTGGGCTTGCTAATTTTTGTAATGATATGGATTTTCCTTATATTGTTGGGGACTTTTTAATATCTTTAGGCATGTGGATGAGAAGAATAAGAAAACCAAGCTAGCTCACTCTGAGATGTTTTCAATTATGTAACTAATACTTTATGCCTTAGATAGGCTGATTTGGATGGTGGGATGTATACTTGGGTTGAATAATCACAAAAATCCTACAATTGAGAAATTTTATAGAATTTTAATGTCTTACTTCTGGGAAGATATTTTTCGTCTTACTTCTGTAAGGAAGCTTGCTAGAGAAATTTCTGATATTTTTGCAACAAAAGAGGAATTTTTTTATCATTGCCCCATGTCGCTTAATATTGATGATAGGAAGCTTGTGATTACTCCCTCATAAGAGGAGTTTATATTTGACCTTAACTAGCACAAAAGCAAACCATTTCTCCCCCTGGTTCCCAAATTTTCGTGGCAACCTGTAAAATACAATTATCATATTGGTATTATTAGTATCAAGATAAAGAGGTTAAACAAAGGTTGGGGCTCTAATTCCTTCTGGATGTCTATAAAAAGGAAGAATTATCTAAAAGAGGAACTGCTAGTGTAGAATAATTAGAGGAGACTCATGTGTTGCCTGCCGAGCTATACTCTAGAGAAGTTGATATATGTTTGGAATTATAGAATTTATTAGTTGAGGAAGAGATAACTTGGTTATAGAAATCCCATGATAATTGGTTACTTAAAAGGGATTGAAACACTCACTATTTTCATAGGATTTTGAATGGTATAAGGAGGAGGAATACTAATTTTTTCCTCTTAGAATGGGGAGGTGAATATTGAGGGAACTGAAGATCTTATTAAAAATGCTACATCTTTTTACAAAGTTTTATGTGGTCAATGTCCTTGACACTTATGTAACTTATTTTATAATTTTTGGAAAGCTAGGAGGAACTCCCTGAGTTAAAGAATTTTAATCTTACTAGACCTTTCTCTAAAACTCAAGTAAAACATGCCTTAATTTCTATGAACCTAACCATGCACCTAGGCCAGATAGTATTCCCACTAAATTTTCTTCAATGTTGTTGGGAGGTGATTAATGTTGACATGATGAGGCTTTTTACTTGCTCCGACGAGGGGTCTTTGATGTACAATGCTTGAACTACGGGGTTATCACTTTGCTCCCTAAGATATATGATGCTAATCAGACACAACAATGTAGAGTGTTGACTAATTTGCCTGTTAAGATGGATTTACAAGATTATTACAGAAGTCTTAACTATTCTCCTGGAACCTTTTGTTAACAGTCTATTGAGTATATACCAGAATGCCTTTACTGTAGTGATATTATGGATGGAATTATGACCTTGCATGAACTCTTGCGTCATTCTTATGTTAAAAGTAAACCTAGTATTATACTGAAACTCAACTTCGAGAAGGCGTACAGTAAAGTCAATTGGGACTTTTTGTTAGACTCTCATGCCATGAGAGGTTTTGGTAAAAATGGGTTGATTGGATTAGGAAATTGTTGGGGCACTGTGTGTTAAATTGAATGATTCTATTGGTCCTTACTTTCAGAGCTCTAAGGGGGTGCCCATTATCTCCTTTCCTTTTTGAACATTGGTGTTGGCAGTTTAACTAGAAAAGTTACTCATGCTCAAGAAAATGGACTACAAAAGTGATTGTTAGCGATTTGATTCCTAATGGTGTATCTATTTCACAATATGGTTATGATACTATTCTGTGTGTTTGAGGATAATCCTAAATATGACTTAAATCTTAAGTTGTTGCTTTACCTTTCTGAGGTTATCTTGGGTTTGGAAAATCAATTTCCTCGAAGGTAAGGTGTTAGTTGTGTGTGGAAATGATCCACTATCCATCGGTATGTTGAGTTGTTTAATTGTCAAATTGGGTGCTTCAGTATCAAACTGTTGGGCATGCCTGTTACCCATGGTGACCTCAAGGGATCTGATTGAAACTTGCTGGATGTCAGGATTATGGACAAATATGAGGCCTGGCTGAAAATATGTTGTCCATAGGGGGACTTACAATCAATCTTAATGTCCTTTTATCTCATATCTCATCTTATTATATGTTTCTGTTGTCCATAGGGGGACTTACAATCAATCTTATTATATGTTTATCTCATATCTCACCTTATTAAGAGGTAGGATAATGCCAAAATAAAATTCTTTTGGCATAGAAATTAAAAAAAAAAGAGGCTACTATATGGTGAAATGGAGCATGATGTGCCATCCTAAATGTAAAGGGTGGCTGGGGGTTAAAGACTTGAGGAAACATAATATAGTCTTTTGGTTAAATTGTGGTGGAAGTTAGATAAGCAAAGTGGTATTTGACATGA